GGCCCCCTTCCAACTCCGTTACTCTGTAAAAAAGAAGATAAATATTTGTTTCTCACAAGTGTTTTTAAACTATAATGCCACAAAATATATCTGTTCTCGGTAACGCGAGGGCTCCAGCATCTCAAATCTACAGCATAATCAATCCACAAGGAGTAAGCAAGAGCATCTAACATACCAGCTGGTGGTACGTGGTTAAGTAGGAAAAATCTGGCTGGAGGTGTGATTGGCAGATGATCAGAAATCAAAAAGTCCCAGTTGCTCTAAGACAAAGGCATGGGAACGAAAGGCTTACAAACATTTTTCATGATATGCTTTAGTGAGATACATGGCTATTTATGTTCTAGGCTGCCAAGTTGCCTTAGATACATAATTTAATCACTTGATTAAGCCGCAGCTTACAAGTCTTACTCTCAAACAGCCAGAGCCTTGTAGTTTTGAAAATCTGTTTGTTGGGTATCTGTGTTCTCAGCAATCCTCGACTTACAACAGTTCATTTAGTGACCATTCAAAGTTACAATGACATGGGGCAAAACTCACTTAACAATTGTCTTGCTTAGCAACAGAAATTCGGGGCTAACTTGTGGGTGCAAGTAGTAAGGACTACCTGTCCTATTTTCAGAGTTAATTCCTGAAAGGCCGGGAAGATTCCTATAACATAGGCAGAATACAATGAAGTAATAGCTTGAACTCTATATGGGTGGATCTAGTCACTTGCACTTGAATGGTAGTGTTACAAAAGCCCAATTTTCTAATTATTGTTTTTTTTTAAAAAACAAACATGAAATAGTACAAAGTTTACATTCGAAGAAAACAGTGATCATATTCCGCAGATGCTCCATTAGAAAACATTGAAGGCTATCAATTTCACTTCTGTGTTAATCTTTCCTAAGAAAAACTGCCAGGAATAAATTCAATGGCGCACCAATAGAAGCGGCTAACCAGTATCTGTGGGATATGGTTAAGAAAAATCCAGATGGCAGCCACAATACATGGCTCTGTCCATTGCACATACAAAGCAGGGCAATCATATCATTGCGGCTGCCATCATTTTTTCTTTCTTTCTTTCTCTCTTTTTCTTTCTCCTCCCTCCCTCCCTTCCTTCTCCCCCCTTTCTCTCTCTCTTTCTCCATTTGGATCAAAGAGAGATCCAAACATCAATTAAGCAGAAATTTCCAGACAGTGAGAACAATTAATTAATGGAACTGCTTGTTTCCAGAAGTTGTGGGTGCTCTAACACTGGAGGTTTTTTAGAAGAGATAGGACAATCCTTTGTCTGAAATGGTATTGGGTTTCCTGCCTGAGCAGGGAGCTGGACTTGAAGACCTCCAAGGTCCCTTCAAACTCTTCCATTCTACTCTACTCTACTCTCTATTCTATTCCCATTCTGTTCCTATTTCATTCCATTCCATTCCATCCCTATTCTATTCTATTCTATTCTATTCTTCCGATTCCTATTCCCATTCCCATTACATTACATATTTTCTTTTCTTTTTTTTTCTTTTCTTTTCTTTTCTATCCTATCCTATCCTATCCTATTCTATCCCATTCCATTCTACCCTGTTTCTCCAACAATACGGCCTCCCCCAATAGGAAGTCCCAGCATGTTTTATAGGCATGAAATGAAATTAAACCCCTCCCCCCAAATTAAGGCCTATGTTAAAACATGCAAAATGGGGGGAATGGTGGGGGGGCTTGCCATTAGGACGTACTTTTGTTGCACACCCGGATATGGTGCTGCCTGCGTTGACCCCGATACGAAGTGCCCCACCAACGCCAAGGTCAACATCCAAGCCATCACCGCCCACCCAAAGATGCAAGGGGGGGGGAATTAAGTCACCCCCGAAAAGACGGCCTAGCCATTTTTTCGGGGCTCAAAAAAAAATAAGACCCGGCCTTATTATATGAGAAACACGGTATTCCATTCCATATTTTCTCTTCTGTTGTTCTATTCCATTCCATTCCATTTCATATTTTCTATTCCATTCTATTCTATTCCTATTCTATTCTCTATATTCTTCTATTCTGTATTCTATTCTATTCTCTGTATTCTGTATTTTCTATTCTATTCTGTTTTTTTCTATTCTATTCTATTCTCTCTATTCTTCTATTCCATTCCATTGTTTCTGATTCTATTTTATTCCATTCCATATTTTCTGTTCTGTTCTATTCTATTCTCTTTTATTAAAATGTAGTAAATTATTAGATCTAAGGAAAAATCTCATACATGCCCTAGAGTCTAGCAGCTAAGGAATGAATGAATGAGCGCCTTTGCTTCCATTTTCAAAAGTCTGCATTCAAGAATAAATTCTAAAGAAGACAAAAGACATATGTTAAAAGTTTGTTTTGAGACAATCTCAAAGCTAAAACTAGAAACCCTAATCTCATTAAGGGTTCCCTTTCAACAGAGCAGTGACTAAACAGCTATTCATTCTTTAGGATAAGTAAAGCCATTTTAAAGACCTTTAAAGGAAAATTAAAATTTAAGTTAATCCGTACACAATTGTACCACGAGGAGCAACATTTTCCCAGAAGCCTAGCAAATAGATTTGACGGGATTATTTTTATGTGCACCAGAATAAGAGCAAACAAGAAATATGTACATTCAATATGCCTTCGTTCATCATTCACCCCAGGACTAACTTGGTTTAAGAGAATTAATGTGATCTGTTGAAAATGTAAGTCCCTTTGCTTTCTCATTATACTCAAGTACTAAAAGTTTACAATTCAACACCACACATGACTCAGACACATTAACTTCTGTTCCAAGGCCCTTCACACTTTCTTTCCCCTAAGAACCTGCAGAGTGACAAAAAAATAAATAAAAGACACACTTGCAATTTTTATCAGCATGAACTATCAGTTTTCGAGGACACCACATCAATAATCCGCAACTGGAGCTGAGAAATTGACAAAGATGAGTCTTTGTGCAAAGGATGGTCCTTACTATTATTGTGCAGAAAGTACTTTGATTTTTCTTTAAAAAAAATCTGTGTGTGCAATTCTTGACTTACCATTTATTTAATGCCCATTCAAAGTTAAAATGGCACTGACTTATGGCCATTTTCCCACTTACGACCGTAATATAGTGGTCACGCAATCAAAATTCAGATGCTTGGCAACTGCCTTGTATTTATGACATTTGCAGTCAGTTGCCAAGGGTCTGAATTTTGATCACGTAACTATGGGGGTGCTAAAATGGTTGTGTGAAAAACGGTCCCAAGTCACTTTTTTCAGTGCCTGTTGTAATTTTGAATGCTCACTAAATGAACTGCTGTAAGTCAAGAACTACCTGTGTATCTATCTGCTAAAACCTGGGAATGTTTGCAGCAAAACCCAAGTAATCAACTCATTTCGACTCTAATGTGGAAAATAATAATCATTATAGAAGCCGAGTTTTAATATGTTGGGAGATTTCTCCCTCAACTGTTCTGACCCAAACCCTTTTCCAATAAAACAAACACGAACCAAAGGGAACAGAAACCTTTTAATGGTTCTTACGAATCCTCGGTTAAAAGGCTGCTGCAAACTAATTAACTTTGATAAACACGAGCCTTGCCAAAACTGTGCAAGGCTGCCAAGAATAACAGATAAGGTTACCTAGAAATATTTCACAACACAAGAGTCTTCAAATACCAATTAAGATACTGCAATGTCCACGAGGCTCGAGTTTCAAAACGTCTTTGCTTCCTGCAAAGAACTTTCATTTCACAGCTGGCTTTTATCTTCTTGAAGGAGGGGCCAATACCTTGCAGCCTTACTCCCGAGTTGCCCGTGCTGTTGCAGCTGCTCTTTCGTGTGAGCAATCCTGTGTGCATGCGCACTTGGCACAGGCTCCTCAGGAACCTCCTCATCACTGCTGCCAGCCCCCACAATCTCTGAAGTCTACTTCCTGATGGTCCCGGCCCCTCATCTGAGTCCTCGCTCTCCTCAGCCATCTGCACCTGCTGGCGGCTAACCACAACATCAACTTTGCTTTCTAGCTTCTTATCTATTCTAGAGTTATTCTGGAGCTACCATAAATACCTCTGGACAAGATCTGGATCCCCACTAGTGTAGGGTCTCCTGCTTGGGCGGGGGGGGGACTAGATGACCTACAAGGTCGCTTCCAAATCTCTTAATCTGTATCTGTATCAGTGTCCCAAGATCACAAGATCCCCTTTTGTGACCTTCTGCCAAGCAAACTCAATGAGGAAGCCAGATTCACTTAACAAAACAACGGTGTTATTCATTGAACAACCGCAGTGATTCACTTAATAACGGTGGCAAGAAAGGTCATAAAATGGGGCCAAACTCACGTCACAAATGCCTGGCTTAGTGATAGACATGTGCGGCTCGGTTGTGGTCGCACGTCGAGGACTAGACCTGTACAGCATGCAAGCAATAATATCCACAATATCTAAAATCGATCAGACAAGTTTTGATTCCGTTCCCACGACAATTCTGAGAAACATACAACGAAATGTTAAGTACGGCTAACTTCCAAAGATTCATTTGGCCCGATTTTTCAAAGGAAAGAAAACCCACCTTGCATCATTCCAGATTTTTTTTCCCTGAAGAAAACCCAATTAGCAAATACACAATATTAGCAAATACACAAATAAAAGGTAAATGTTCCCCTCGCATATACATGCTAGTTATTTCTGGCTCTAGGGGGCGGTATTCATCTCCGTTACAAAGCTGAAGAGCCAGAGTTGTCCAAAGATGTCTCCGTGGTCATGTGGCTGGCACAACTAAACACTGAAGGCACACGGAACGCTGTTCCCTTCCCACCAAAGTGGTCCCTATTTTTCTACTTGCATTTTTCTTACATGCTTTTGAACTGCTAGATTGGCAGAAGCTGGGACGAGTAACAGGAGCTCACTCCATTACGCAGCACTTGGGATTCAAACCGCCGAACTGCTAACCTTTCTGATCGACAAGCTCAGCGTCTTAGCCACTGAGCCACCGCATCCCCTCAAATACACAAATACATGATCTTAAAAAAAAAAACCTGGACTCACCGAGTTCGTTGAGACTCTGAGCAGCTTTGGTGATCTCTCGACTTCCACCTTGAAGTTGGCCTTGAAGTCTTTTGCTGAGGTACAAGATCCGTATGATTCTCCTCAGCAGGTCACAAGCAGCCTTGGGAAGAAAACATCAAATTAAGCATGCGTTATTCAATACGATTCACGATTATTCAGCATTAAGGCAAACCTGACCTCCAAGTGGCCTCAACGGCTCTCTAAAAGGATGCAAATGACCAGCAGTCTGCAAGGAATATAAATCCTTCCATTCCCCCACCATTCAGTCAGAGCTGAAGAAGCTTCTTGGAGAAGCGAAATGTCTTCAAAGAAAAAGCAAGAAAGTCCAGTTGCCTCCTGAAAAAAAGCCCCTTTGAGGCTCTCATGGTGTGTTTGACCAACAGTGTACACTAGATACTACCAAGTCATGAACCGAACCACTGTGGGAATCGAGCTTGTATTCTAAGTCCAGTAAACATGGGGTGTTTAATGCTGAATTTCCATTTCCTTTCCCTTTCCCATTTCCATTTGTTTCCTTTCCGTTTCCCTTCCTTTCCTGTTCCATATTCATTTTTTTCCTTTCCTTTTTTCCTTCCCTTTCCTTTCCCTTTTTTCTTTCCTTTTCCTTTTCCTTTTTCCTTTCCTTTTCCTTTCCTTCCCTTCCCCTTTTCATTTCATTTCCCTTTTCTTTCCCTTTCTCCTTTCCTTTCTCTTTCCTTTCTTCTTTCCTTTCCCTTTTTCTTTCATTTCCTGTTTCTTGTTTCCTTTCCCTTTCACTCTCTGTCCTTCCCTTCCCTTCCTTTCCACTTTCTTCCCTTTCCCTTCCCTTCCCTATTTACAAGGAGACCCACAGCATAGCAGCAGTCTTCACTAATCCGTTTTCCAGTCAATCTAAATCAGGATTAGTTCATCCGAACTGGTCAAGGATCACAAATCTGGAGCCTGATCTTATTTATTTTGTGCGCTTCACTCACTGTTTCAAGATTAAACTATGGAGATTAAACATACCACACTTCAAATGTCAAACCGACTGTGGATGCCCCCAATTTATTCCTCACAGTAACACTTCAAAAGCCAGCACGTGTTCATCAATTACCAGGGTTAGCGTGACTTTCAAATACATGTCAGGGAGAAGTGGCACCCTTTCCACCAACTAGTTTTCTGCAATTAAATCTTCAGCTAAATGAACTTGCTTAATGACTTTAATTATGTGTACGGAGGCACCAGTATAAATCATTCGCAGCACAATTGCGGTTCTAAACCCATTCAACGATACAAAACTCGTGGACTATGCAACGCCAGGGTTTGGATTATGTTCCTCGCTAGCATAACAGCTCCATTTCGTTCCAAAGCGGTTCATTTTAATTGTTGCACCCCCTGAATAAATTATGCAGTTATAAAGAGAGGGATTTTCACACATGGTAATCAACCTCTCGCGATTTTAATCCGTTACTTTAAGCAAAACCTTTTCCTCCTTTAATGTGTAATTTGAGTAACTTGAGCCTCCCGAGATGCACAAGCCTACAAATCGCGCAAAGGATGGAAAAACGCAAATAGTACAAGAACTGAACTATGCAAGAATTACGCTTTAATAGTCTTTTCCAATGCAGGGTGTGAATTCTACCAATAAGTGAATGTGAGGTTGGTTGATCTTTTCTACATGTTTTGGTATCTGACCTCGAAGATCCATAGGTTTTTTTTAAAAGGCAGGCAGTTGGAAAGAGTCCAGCTATAAAATTATTCTAAAAGCAGATAGATAGATATATATTTTAAAAAGCTATTTTTAGTTACTTGGGATTTTATACAGGCCGCTGGTTTATATTTTGGCTCTTCAAAGTAAATTCCTGTGATCACAAGCCTGACATATCAACAGCTGAACAAACAATATGGCAAGGAAAAGAACATGAAGAAAAGAGAGCTCCGTTTTATTTTATTTTTTAACTAAAATTGCCGAATGAAAAACACTCTTTCTGGTTTCATCACAGTTTTTCTGTATTTATAATCTGCTTTTCGTAGCTTTCAGTTAATGTAACCTCCCAGGAGGAGATAAGAAAGAGAAATACAGGTAGTATTTGACTTACGACTAAAAAATAAAAGCCAATGCAATCCTAAAGTTGCATTAACAGAGGGACACAATCAAGATCAATTAAGGTACTAATACCACTCTATAAAGCCTTAGTAAGACCACACCTAGACTACTGAATCCAGTTTTGGTCATCACACTATAAAAAAGATATTGAGACTCTAGAAAAAGTGCAGAGAAGAGCAACCAGGATGATTAGGGGATGATTGGAGGCTAAAACATACGAAGAACGGTTCCAGAAACTGGGCATGGCTAGTCTGGTGAAGAGAAGGACCAGTAGAGACATGATAGCAGTCTTCCAATATCTGCCACAGAGAGGAGGGAGGATCAAGCTATTTTCCAAAGCACCCGAAGGTCAGACAAGGAATAATGGATGGAAACTGAACAAGGAGAGATTCAAGCTGGAAATGAGGAGAAATTTTCTGACAGCGAGAACAATCAACCCATGGAACAGAAGTTTCCTTTGGAAGTTGTGGGACCATCATCACTTGAGGCTTTCAAGAAGAGACTGGAGTGCCATCTGCCAGAAATGGTGTAGGTCTCCTGCTTAGACAGGAGGGGGTTGGACTAGATGACCGACAAGGTACCTTCCAATAAACTCTGTTATTCTGTTATACTGTTGAGGCTATTTTAGGCATGATATCAAGGGGACTTGGAATTTTAAAAAGCATTAAAGGGAAATGCAGCAGAATTAAGATAGCACATAAAGAAATAATGCTTCTTTTTATAAAGCTTACTTCCAACTCCTTGCTATAGGTAGTTCTCAACTTACAACAGTTCACTTAATGACCTGTTCAAAGTTACAACAGCACTGAAAAATAGTGACTCTCGAGCATTTTCACACGTACAACTGTTGCAGCATCCACATGATCAAACCTAAGGCATTTGGCAACTGACTCGTATTTATGATGGCTGCAATGATCCCATTTTGTGACAGGGAACAACGGGGAAGCCAAATTCATTTAACAAATGTGTTACGATCAATTCACCTAACAATTGTGGTCGGAATGGTCCTAAAATGGAGCAAAATTCACTTCACAAATAGTCTCACGTAGCGACAGAAATTTTGGGCTCTATTTCAGTCGTAAGTTGAGGACTCCCTATATATAAAGAAATAACGCTTCTTTTTATAAGGCTTACTTCCTTATACAGTCTACTGAGAAGGTTTGAAAAAAGTGAGAATTGGGTCCATGAATCACAATATAATTGAAGCTGGAGAAAACAGGACATTAATTCTGAAAAACATGGGATTTTTTTGACCTAAAAAAACCCAACTGTCAACAATTAATGATGATCAACACCCAGCCATTTTTAATATTATGTCAGGTTTAAAACAAGCTTCTCGGTCGATGTCCATAATGCTAAATACTATTTGCAATTTGGTTTCCAAAAATTCCAAAAAATGTCTCACATATATATAAAATACATATATCAAATATATCAAATAATATATAAAATTTTGAATTCTTGGGAAGTGAGGAACAAGGACCAAATTCTAAACTGAAGCTGCAACTAAATTTAAAACGAGGCAAGCCTTGCAAAAAAAAACTGGCTTGGAAAGGCAACAAATAACTAAATGAGGAAAAGGCACTGGAAAAACGTGTGCGTGCGTGTGTGTGTGTGTGTGTGTATCCATGCGCTTTTGCCAATTTTGCCATGCAAAAATTTCCTTTCTGTTTGCATTTGGTTTTTGTTTTGTTTTTAAACTCTGAGAGGATTTTTTTGGGTGTGTGTGTGAAATGTTCACCATTCTTATGCAATGATTTTAATTATTTATTCTGGGAGTGTGTTTTCCCCTTTTCTCCAACAAGTAACTATAGCAACCTTGTAGAGCCCTCCAGGAAAAAAAAATCCAATCCGGTTATCTCTGTCCATCATTAATTCACTCCCATGTGGAAGTTGCAAAACCTTGTTCTAAAATAAAAATATCCTTCACGTTTGTTCCTCGTGCCATTGTTCTGCGGCTCTCTGAAATACTCCGTTTGCAGCCCAAAAGAAAGGGAGAAAAAAATAACATTTCTGAAGGAGGAGAGAAAAAAAGAATAACTTACCTGAAGCCTTGCTAACTGTGCTGTGCGGGATACGATTTTGTTGTAGGGGTCAATAATTTTGGCTTTGATCCTGAGGCAAAAAAAAAAAGGAACCGCGTTTTAGAAAACAGGGTGATACACAAGAATTTAAAAACTTTCCACAACGGGATACAGATCTGGCATACCTGTCAACGGTGCTCTGGAGGGCGCTAATTCTGGTCTGCATCATTTCCAGAACACCTGCAAGCAAAGATAGAAGAACCAATCAAAATTACTACTCCGAGTGAAAGAAATTTGTTTTGGGTTTTTTTCCGGTTGAGGAAAAGAACTTAAAATAAGCTTGGAAATTGCAGGATTTATAATACAGGTCATTCTCGGCTGGCAACGGTTTCAGGTTGGCCCTGAAAAAACGTTTTTCACCTTTACAGTGTATCCCCGCGGTCACGAGATCCGAATTTTAGGCACTTGGCAGCTGAACTCGTGTTTACGATGGCCGCAGCAGTCCGGGGATCGCCCTTTTTTTTGCGGCTTTTCTGAGGAAAAAAGTCAATGGGAAAACCACTGTGTGTCTCGCTGAACAATGGCAGGGATTCGCTGAACAACAGTGGCAAGAAAGAGGGTAAAACGGGGTGAAACTCACTTAAGAACTGCCTCACTTAGCAACGTGAATGTCGGGCTCAGTTGGGATTGCGAGCAGGACCCCAAACAGAGCCCAAAGTTTACATTGCTAAGTGAGGCATTTGTTCAGCAGGTTTTGCCCTGAGTTACGACCTTCGTTGCCGCCGTTAAGTGAATCACGACAGTGGTTAGGACCCAAGCCCACCCCCTCTTCATCCTAGGCCACGCAGGGAGGAACGGAGAAGGGAGCAACGTGGGTTGTGGCTTACAGGGGAGGAAAGGGCCCTGATACCCTTCATTAGCCACATCTGGGAAGAGAGTTTAAAAGACATGCTGAGTGAGGCGTCTTCTGGGAACAAACGTGAGTTTATCTTGTGTGTACTTTGGTTATCTGTGTTCCTGGCATCCTCCCAACTGGGTTGTTTTATTACCATGCCTTCACATCTGGAATTCTTGCTCTTGCCCTGCTGGACTAATTACCTCATCTTGCCTTGATTGGACTTATAGTTACAGTTTTTGTTGACCATGTTTTGGACTTGATTCTCTACAGCCAAAGGCTGTTCCTGGGAGAGTTTTTCTCCAGCCAGAAAGTAACCAGGACTTTGGGGGCAAAGTTGGAGCTAATAAAGGGACTCCTACTGATTATCTGACTGTGTTGCCTTTGTGTCACACCCCAGGTCATCACAGTAACTCAAGCCTTTCCTGGGTTTAATGTCAAACTTAAAAAGATTTGTGGTAGTCAGGTGTTAATCACACCGCAAACACACTGCATTTCTGCTTATGGCCATTATTTCTAGCCTGATTTTAAGACTACAAGTCTTCTAAAGCAGCTTACGAGAATAATATAAAATCTGTAGAAGAGGAAAAAAATCCACAGTACGTATTAGGTTAAAGCTAACAAAGGAAATTGGGGATCCTGTTGTAAGTTGAGGACTGCATGCAGCTGCTCAAAATTTGCTTGAAAACCTTAAATGATACATAATTACAAGAATCAGGCTGTTCTACTGTTTAAAAATTCTCCCAGCTAGTAAATTCCTTCTGGAAAGCTTCCACCACCTGTTGATTCTCATCCTCTCCTTAGGAGCTAGGAAAAGTAAAAATTCCCTATAATAAAGGAGAATATTTGTAGCTCAGGGTTGAGAGGAGGGATCCTTGGTGCTCTCCGAGCTTGGTGGTTTTCTTGTAGACATTTCATTACCATACTAGGTAACAACATCAGTAGTAGATAAGATAGTAGATAGTAGAGATAGATGGGTGATGGATAGATGATACATACAGTAGATTCGATGGATGGATGGATGGATGGATGGATGGATGGATGGATGGATGGATGGATGGATAGATAGATAGATAGATAGATAGATAGAGCCAATAAAGGAGAATATTGGTAGCTCAGAGTTGACATGAGGGATCCTTGGTGCTCTGAGCTCGCTTGTTTTCTTGTAGATGTTTCATTACCATACTAGGTGATATCATCAGTGTTCGATAGTACTGATAGTAGACAGATAGTAGATAGCAGAGATCGATAGGCAATGGATAGATGACTGAATAGCTAGCTAGCTGGATAGCTAGCTGGATGGGTAGGTAGATAGATAGATAGATAGATAGATAGATAGATAGATAGATAGATAGATAGATGTAGAGTCAATGAAGGAGAATATTTGTAGCTCAGGGTTTACATGAAGGCCCCTTGGTGCTCTCTGAGCTTTCTTTCTTTCTTGCAGACATTTCATGACCAAACTAGGTAACATCATCAGTGCTAGTGACGATGTTACCTAGTTAGGGTCATGAAATGTCTGCAGGAAAACAAGCAAGCTCAGAGAGCACAGAAATTTCTCTGCGACTGGGGGAAGAAAAAAAATCCCGTGATGCGCCCCGAATCCAAACCTCATCTCCATCCAGAACCGCCAATCACACAAGACAAGTGGCTGTTAACAGCAGGGCTAAAAAAAAATATGAACCCAGTTACTCAGGCACCCTTGCTCTGCTGACAGCTCCTACTATTAATAGCTACGGTGGTACATTTTACAAGGTTTTTGCTGGCAGCATTCGGGTCCAGCTTTTGACAGGAAAAGAACGGCGGTTGGATCCTTGGGGTGAGGGGATGGGATCCATCCAATAGGTGAAGATGAAAATAGGTAATTAATCTTTCTACATGCTACAACCCACTACGTTCATATTCAAGAGTCAGAGCATCCATAATTATTCCTGGTTTGCAAAAAAAACCAAAAAAAACACACCACCCTACTGGGAAGAGATGCAACCAAATATAATAATAGCAAGCTGATTAAGACTCAATGATCAAAATTAATACATTCCGGAAATAAAATCATTGCAAAAAAATTGACAAAATGTACAGCTGAGCAGCGTAAATGCCTTCTAAATGTATTCCTATTTTTATTTTTAACCAGTGTCTCAGCCCCTGGCAGCTGAATATCAGAATTTCCAAATGGGAAAAGAAAACTATTCAAGACAAACAGGAAAACACTAACTTTTTTATGGCATTCAGTTATCAAAAGACAGGCCCTTTCGGTATTTCCCTCCCAATGAGGCTACAATAATTATATTTTCACACATTTTTCAGATGTATCTTTCAGGCTACAGATATGCCATCCCAAGTACAAAGTCATTTTTCTGTAGGAGTCCAATTCTATATATGGACCCAAGAAGGCTCAGCATACGGACATGAGGCAGTAAGTATGTGTCAACCCCCACATTTGTCAATGCTTACTCACTTACACATAAAGGAGACAGGATTCAGACTCAATAGCATGCATTATTTAACAGAGTGGAAAGTGTATGTATTAGGTTTGCCATCTAATTAATGTGTCTTCCAGGCTGTCCAACACTTTCGGTGTAACAACAGGCTCAATTCGGAGGTGGAAATAGCTGTGGGATGGGATTGAGATGGGACTGGGAAGGGAAGGGAAGAGGGATGGGATAGAAAGGAATAAAATAGAAAGGAAGGGAAGTGATGGGATGGGATGAAAAGGAAGGGAAGGGAAGGGAAAAGATGGGATAGAAAGGAATAGAATGGAAAAGAATAGAATGGAAAGAAAGGGAA